ATAAAAATTACAATTTTGTTTTTCCTTTGATGTGTCCTCCCTCGGACGGATTACTTTTGTTTGTTATAAGTTTATTTTATACAAAAGTTTAGGTCTATAATTTATCGATTGAGGCACTACAAAGTCTGCCGGGTCAGCTAGTCACTTATATTTTACAATTATTTTTATTGTTTCATACGTTAAACTTGGTTTACTAACATAACTTGTTGTGACACAAAAGTGATTCAAGTTATCATTTACGTAACCTCGACTTAGAATATAGAGATTATTTATCACGTGCCAAAGAGGGCTTAATGAAAACGATATCACATGGACTTGTATTCGGCGGAGGAAAACGTATTCAGCGTAGGAGTGGGTAATATCGGTTTTGCCGTGTATCGAATCGTATCTATATATCGAGTATCGATATCGGATATTGAATCTATATATTTTCTGAATCTATATATTGATGGATGCTACTGATGCTAGTAGATTTTCTCGATTCATGATATTTGAGATTTGAAACGATACGCTGATATACGTAGTAGATATAGATTTAAGTCAACGTTATACGGTTCGTTTTCTGATATCAATTTATAATATGATTTTAAAGTAATTAAAAGAACATGAAAATAAAAATATCAAAAAAACTTTCCTTCATGCTTTTACCAGGCTTTAGGACTGGCTACATTATTTTCAGTTTTTAGTATTTCGTGTCTTAATTTAAAATTAAAAAATATGCCAAGAGAGTGTAGATTTCAAAAGTTTAATACAAACACAAGAAATAAACTCAATTATTTGGATTCAACTAAAAATAGAAAAATGTGTACTTTAAAAATCAAACACAAAAAACTTTTAAGTATTTATAAACACTTGTCCAAAAATTCTAGTTCAAGGTCAAAGCGCGTGAAATTAAATTCAACGATGCAAATACTGCATTCGATACTGCATTCAAATTAGAGTCGAAAGTTGAAACTTCTTTCCTAAATTGTATCCTGCTGATACGCTAAGAATAATCTACAGACATATGGACTTAAATATAAGGTTTACAATTGTATGGATAATGCCTGTTTCTGTTTCATTCATCACATGATATCCCTATCGTGCGCTCGCTCACTCTGGCCGATTCGATACGAACCAAACGAATATTGCTGATATTCACGAATCGGTACGATACGCCGATGCGCATCACATCGAGCAATATCGTGTATCGGCTGATATCGATATACAGATTTCGATTCACGAATCGGTACGATATGCCGATGCGCATCACATCGAGCAATATCGTGTATCGGCTGATATCGATATATAGATTTCGTGCGGGGCGATATCGGATTCAACGATATTGCTGCGATATATAGATATTGAATCTATATACGATTTATATCACCCACTCCTAATTCAGCGTGCGGACCGAATTCGTTTGACCAGTATAAATACGTTTACTTTCTGATGGAACTGATTGGTACTACGCATCTTATGAGTCCGTGTGAGTAGGTACCACCACCCTACCTATTTAGGCCGTGAAGTATTAATGAGTTTCGGTTTGAAGGGCGGGACAGCCATTGTGCTGTAAAAATTCTGATTTAGAACTCAAGTCTCAAGGTGGGTGGTTATGTTGTTTATGTCTATAGTCTATAGTCTTCGATAATCGATGGGTCGTGAGATCATCCATCCCTCTAAGTAATAAAAAATAAAAATAAAAGAGCATTTTTAAAATGTGGCTAGTCTTATTTTTTTACTACGAACCATATTACCCTACGTAAAATACAATTCAAGGGCTGGCAAAAGAATAGTTTGTTCGTTATGTTTAAGTGCTCTTTATTCCGAAACTATATATTTGGGAACACCAGTTTTTCATAGAATCGTTTATTCAAATAAAACACAATCTAAAGTTATCGGCTTGATATCAACTTTGTGGAACACCCTGTGTGTGATATATTATGTACATACATTTTCAATTAATATTTTATAATCGATATTATGGGGTACGAGTGGTTTATTGGGTAAGTGGCTAAGGCCATAGATGGATGGATATACGTGAATACCGCCACACACTCTCAATTGTAATATATAACGGTTACCCCGCACCGTTCAAACCGGAATGCATGTCTATGCGTTTTAAAAACGTAATTCTGCCTTTACATCGTAAACTAGTAAGAGGTATTAAATCAAAATAAACACCTAAGTTATGTGGCTACTAAGATACTAAACTAAAACGATTTTGACTGGTTATGATATTCGTTTATTAGCAACTGAGACTTAATTCGCAGTTCAAATTGGAGCGTTGAGTTTAATTTTCTAAGCTCGGAGCGGAGTTAGAGACGATCTCTTCAGGCATAAGCTAAGGCAACCACGAAACTAATTTATTCAGCTGAGATTACGCGATAGGCAAATTTTGGTGTGAAGCTTCCTCGATAGTTTGACTCTTATACTTATACTTATAAACGAATATCAAAAATAAATTATGATTATATATTCACAACTAGCTGTACACATCCGCTTCGTTGGGCATTTAAAATTAACATAATTATTTCTCACCCCCACAAAAATACTCATCATTAACGCCCCCGCAACTGGTGTAGGGAGTCCAACACTCATATAAATATAGCCTATCCATTAAGTACATGTATTTTCTACATGGATACCAAGTTTCAAGTCAATCGGATGCATGGTTCAGTAGTTATAACGGAACATCCGTAACAACCACTATAGATTTATATATTAGTATAGATTAGATTATGTGGCCGCAATATATGTAATAGGCTTACAAACATTTTATTGTTTTAGCATCATAAACGTTTTTCACTTTGATGATTGATACTATTAAGTAACTACGTACCTCTAACATGAATTTATTAACGTCTTCCACCATTAATGATGTACAAACATCGTTTAATAAAAGTGAAATCTGAAAAAAATATAATTTATAGGTTACATATAATTACTGTGTTGTATTGTGAATAGTCAACACGGGAAGGTACATAATAATTCTATTTTCTGCCTACTTCATAGTTATGCGTCCCGGTTTGAAATGTTGGACCAGTTTTATGGAATACAATTGAGGCTTAGACCTCATGTTCCAAAGTTATGGTACTCACGTTGTGGTATTTATAGGCTTCGATAATCATAACCAGCGGCAAAAGAGCCATAAAAAATCTGATGAGATAATGCTCATCACAATGTTTATTTCTGCGGCAAATAAAATTATCCATCAAAGAATGTTTTTTCTCTGTTTATCTTTTCAGCGAAAATGTCACTTTGCGTATGTGTAAATGTTCCAAACGTGTCGTGAGCGTTCCAAGTACATTTTGTGACAAATTACTTGGTCCCGAATAAACTCGTTTCATGTAAACACAAGACATTTTATCGCGTTATCGTTCTTTCTTTTTTGTTTTGATCTCCAGGTGAAGTATTTTTGAATGAACAGATAAAGTCAGAGCGTTTATCTTTAGAATAGACTATTCGACCGTTATAATAAGATAATAATTATATTAAGATAATAGATAATATTAAGATAAGGATATGCGAACTAGATACTATAATATAATAATTCAACTACTATTTATACGAGTATAGCTGTAATCAGGCTGGAGTTTTAATTGTATTGTCATACGGCTATATTCCAATACTGTCATAATATTTTAAAGCGGACCAAATAACTGTAACATTAATATTATTATCTATTGTATTAAACATAATTTTTCAGATTAAATTTTATTTTACAGAGATATGCCTCAATGCTAAATAGTTCCATTCGCAACATTGATTTGTAGTATCTTTCATTATTTTCATATCTAATTCTCCCCTAATTGTTAGATAGGTGGATAGGATAGGATAGATGTTGCAAGTTTGCCCGTGTTTGAATGAGGTTTTTCATTAAGGACGCTCGAACTTTGACAGCTCATAGCGGCCATCTTGGTAAAGCAATAGCTGTCAAATATGGCACGAACATTTATTGAGTCATTTCACATTTCACCATGAAACGCTAAATGCTTGTCCGGCCTTCATCGGCCCTTATTTATTCGAAGACATGCAAGGAGCCACGCTCACTGTTAATGGCGACTGATACCGGACGGTTGCACGTCATTTCGGATCCTCCCGATCCACTAACGGTGCTTTTAGGTACTTCAAGCACCGGTCACCGTTCTCGTCGAACCCGTCGCTTGCGACGAAGGTCTCGACGAGTAAATTAACCCTCAGACACAGCCCACTGAGTTTCTCGCCGGATCTACTCAGTGGGTCGCGTTTCCGATCCGGTGGTAGATTCTGCGAAGCACGACTCTTGCTAGGGTTCGTGTTAGCAACGTCGTCAGGTTTGAGCCCCGTGAGCTCACCTACTAGTTAAGGTTACGCTGGAATAGCCTCTCAAGGCTAACAGCTTAGGTAGGAAAAAAAAAAGGACGGTGATAAAAACACTTTTTGTGGCCTAGGATAGATGATGTGGATCTCACAAACATGTGGTTCCAACAAGATAGCGCCACTTGTCATACAGTACGGGAAACATTAAATTTATTGGATGAGAAATTCAAAAGCTCTGTCATGTCACGTGGTGGTGACACCAGCTAGCCATCGAGATCGTGTGACTTAACACCGCTCGACTAGGTTACGTGAAATCTCGACCATAACACGCGCTTTTCATGAAATTGAGCCCCATTTATGCGAAGATATCATACAAAATTGGTCCACCAGGATACACCATCTACAACGGAGTCACGGCGGCCATTTGGCTGAAATTATATTTCATACATAACATCATCGAATACCCTTTAAAATAAAATAAAAATTGAGGCAATATCACTTAAACAGTTTTTTATTTTATTTTTAAGTTCGAGCACTCTTAATGAAAAAACCCTTTACAACCGTCTGGCCTAATTTAACTATGAAACTGCAGGCCGGTTTATGTATACTTTTCTACCTCATGTTTCAAGTTGAACCAGTGCATTCGCGTCTATGGGCTCATATAACGACAAGTAAGAATAAAAAAGAAGTAAAATGTATAATGATATTTTTTGTTGCAGAATTATAATGAGGGAGTATTCAACATAGTTACTTTGACTGAACTGGACGAATGGAAAAATGTCGGAAGACGAAAGCTATGGGTTTTGCTCGGAAAGTGCAACCGCTTTTCAGCGGGTCTATATCCAAGCTCACGGCTACATCGCCCTTATCATTTGTCTTCTCGGTTCCGCAGCCAATTCTGTTAATATCGCCGTACTTAGCCGGAAAGAGATGACTTCGTGCACTAATTCGATCCTCACCGGGCTCGCCGTTGCAGATCTCTTAGTTATGATCGACTATATACCATTAGCACTCCACCTGTACACGAAAATCGGTTCAGAATTAAATCAAAATTCTTACGGGTGGGCCGTGTTCATATATTTCCACTCAATATTCAGCCAGACCTTTCACACAATATCCATCTGGCTAACAATAATGCTCGCAGTTTGGAGATACATAGCTATTAAGTTTCCACAAAAGAACCAAACGCTGTGTAACAAGAGGAACACGACATTGGCCATAATCCTCGCGTATGCTGTATGTCCAGTGTTGTGCTTGCCTATTTATTTCGCAATGAATATAAAGGAACGTCTCCCATCAGATACTTCTAACGGCACGAACGTCACACTAAACTATACAAGTGCTGCAAATGTATCAGATCCGAAACAATTTATCATAGAGATGACGAACAATAACGATTTACTAACTGCCATATTCTGGATTTATAGTGTGTTCATAAAACTAATACCATGTGTGGTTTTATCTATTTTGAGTGTGTTGTTGATCATGAAGATGAAATCGAGCGATCGAAGACGACAAAAACTGTTAAAAAAATCAGCCATAACCACTACTGAGGTAATTTAGTTGTTTTAATTATTTTTAATTAATTTTAGTGTTGTATTTAAATTTTGACAATGCAATAAAACGATGGCGAAAAAAATAATTAAGAATGAACTCCAAAGTATTTTTTTTGTAATGTAGAGATGAGGGAAATTCACAGAAAACAAAAAAGTTGTCATTTTCGTTATTGGACATTACTAAACTATATTTACAAATGTATATACTGTAAGACATTAAGGACTCGATAATAATTGAGTATGCAATTTCGAAAAGGGCACATCTCTGAAAATGTAAAATGTTCACGAAATGAGAAAAAACTGATTATTTTCTAAAGCAGTGTATAATTTAAAATATTAACTTTTGAGATATATTTTAGTGTTAATTAGCAATTGAAAATTACTGGAATTAAAATGGGTGTAGGTAAGTCTCAAAACTACATGTATAGGTATATGAAAAAACGTATTTGACAAAATATGCGACATGTGCCCTTTTCGAAATTGCATATTCAATTAATTAATTCATCGAGAATTTCCTCTTTAAATTGTAAGCACTTTTATTTTCATGCACAGGGTGAGAAGGCGCGACTCAACGATGACGGCAAGAAAGGGGGAGGACGCACAGATCGAACGACCAGGATGCTAGTAGCACTCCTGGGACTTTTTCTCGCGACAGAACTTCCGCAGGCGTTATTTGGCTTATTGACTGCTATAGCGCCACATCTCTTCCTAATTTGCTACTACGCTTTTGGTTTGTATTTTTTCATACATTTTTTTACGATACAATTTTGGTAAGTCTTTTTTTAAATTGGATCGATACTATATATTAATATTGTAGATACAACAACGGTAGGCAGCGGCTTGGCTCTGCCCCTGGCATTGCTGAAGTCCATGGGCGACGGTAACCACTCACCATCAGGTGGGCCGTATGCTCGTCTGCCTACAAAGGCAATAAAAAAAATTTGTACGTATTATATATAACTAATTTTATTGAGTAGTGACGTTTATTCTTGGTATTACAACACAAGAGATTGTCGGGTTATGAGTAAGGGCGGGGGTGGGTGTTTATGCGACCACAACCTTCATAAATCCAGTGAAGAAACTGCTAGACAGTTCGTCCATAGTATCCTGATCTAATTTTCCTACTTATTATTTGAAGTACAAGTGGTAGGGCATGACGTGAGGCCGCGATAGTGGGTTATACTTTATAATATTCAGATAAAGTATTATAATAGTTTATGAATTTTCTATTGTAAGTTTGTTGACTTGTTGAAGTTTTGTTGATTTCTCCTTAATGAGTTAAAAATTAGTTCTATTTATTATTCATTTGTCCATACATTCGTTTCATGCGATTTTATTGAAAAAAAATTATTACGAAATACGTTATTTATTTAATCGAAGTATTTTCTCTTATTACATTTTTTTTTTGTGATCATAATAGAAAATCATTTTGGCTTTTTTATTACTGTGAATCACAGCGTTTTTTGTGCTTGTAAATATTATATAATACACTTTACATTACGCGTCACAACCCGCTCCGAAGTAGAGATTTTAAGGAATTTTCTATACCCATTCATCAAAACAAGAATAACATGAACGTACGTTTTTCTGTATGTAAATACATAATAACATACATGAAACACCAATTTTGTAGTGTTTATTTGTTTTATCAATTTGGTGCAAACTATTCAGTGATGTGGGTGAGCTAATGTCCGATAATGACGCTAATTCTTTGCTGTTGGATAAGGATTGACTTCCACCGTTACATTTAATTCATAGTTATTTATTTACACGCCTTGTTTTTGGATTGCCTTGTTCTTCAAGGGGAAGTTTCAGGTCCGAAAGCGATTAACCAAAAAAAAAAAACGCACTATGAGCTCGTTAGAAATATTTATTACTAGTTTATCTTTTCAACCACATGGTAAGTTCTCGTATTCGTATTCGTATTCAAATACTTCATTTAAAATCAAATCATACATAGTCAATTCTGTAATTTAACCCCTATTCCATAACTCCAACAAACATTGATAAACGAGGTCAAGGTTTACTGTCGGAGATCCTTGGTCAACGTTTTAAAAATTCAGACCACATTTAAATATAATTCTGAATTCTGTTGAAGGTCTAAGTTAAGCTTTATCGGATTTAAGGCTTTAATTAAGTTAGTTCTTAAGCGATAGTTAGATTAGTTGTTCGAAACGAATTGGTACATAGTTGTTCACGTAGAACGACATCAAAAATAATTACATAGTAATTTGTTGGTTTCCACATCGTGGCTAATCGCTAACGACCTCACGAGAGTCGGAAAATTGCGGGATGATATTTAATACAGATTAATAACACGAATTTAACTAGTTAAATTTCCATGCCGTCTAATAAATGTGTACTATAATCGCAAAACCATGCATAAAATGAAATACAGAAAGAAAACAGCAAAGATATTTGAATAAATGATCTTAGGTAACCGAAGCGTTGTGAGTGAGTTTCAAATGTTAAAAAATTGATCGTACTTTTAAGATTTTCAGACAGTTATTGGTACTCGAATTCCAAAGTCGAAACAAGGTCGAAACGTGCGCAAGTGCCTTTATGACATAACAGTGAAAAACCCCTCAATAATAAAAGATCGCCATTGATGCGACATCAAGGAACATTTTTATATTTCAATGTAAAAGCTTAAAGAAAACCCGATATATATTTCCTTCAACGGATTGTACCTTGTTTGGGGTCGTCATTAGTTCAGCTGTTCAATGAACCATTGTCGTAGCCCTCGAGCGGTTTGCCGGCGATAGCCACTTGAATTTCAACGTTCGAAGCGTGCGTGAGTACCTTGTAATTGAAATGCCATGTTCTGTCAGAATGACGGTAAAACATTAATGAAAGTACAGAATGTATGAATTAGAAATATAATTTAAATGGCTTTTATCCCTTAAACAAATAACTTTACTTTCTCTCTCTTCAATCGATCTCTCATTGATGAGGATCGTGACTCTGTCCGATTTCGTCAACCAGCTGTCTCCATCGATCCCGTTCTGTAGCCTGATGAAGTGCGTCGCTGACAGGTATTTTCAGTTCCTCCGCTATTTGGTCCAACCATCGCTGGGGACCTCTACCCCTAGGCCTTTTCCCCTCGATTTTACCGGTCACCACAAGGCGTTCCAAATTGCTGGTATTCCTGCGTGCAACATGACCAAAATACCGCAATATTCTTTGTAGGCAGGTTGTGGATAGATGTTGAGCTTTTCTATTTTTAACTGCTTGAGAATAGAGATATTGGTGCGGCGGGCTGTCCATGGTATTCGTACGTCGCCAGCACCATATTTCAAAAGCGTCGATTCTCTGCCTATATTTCTCTGTGTCTCTGCACTGTATTTAGTTAAAAATAGAATATATTAAAAACTTGGCTTTACCTTAGCAGGTAAGGTAAGTTATGGATAATTATTATCAGTTGTTGCTAAAACCTGTCTTTGTTTTACAAAGAGCCTATGAGTGTAACACAATTGGTAATTATTAATTCAGGATACAGATAAGTATGTGGCCCAGTGAGAGTTTACTAAGCCACTGGTTCGATAAATAAGGTAATCTTGACTCTCAAGGCTCTCAAGTGAGTCGGCAAATGTACGTTCCGTTTATAGTCGAACGAGCAGAGTAAAATATCTCCTTTACCAATTCCAATTACCAATTGGAGCAAAAAAAGGATCTCGACTTTTTGTTAGATCTGTGGTTAATAAAACATGCCTTTTAAAAAAAGATAGTTATAGTCAACTACGTAATTTCTCGGGATCCCCCAAAAAGTCCATGGAAAAAGTTTTAGTAAATGACCACCATTTTACTGAGATTATATTTCATTCCATATTTGGTGGTAGGACCGCTTGTAAGTCCGCGCGGGTGGGTACCACCACGCTGCCTATTTCTGCCGTGAAGCAGTAATGCGTTTCGGTTTGAAGGGTGGGACAGCCGTTGTAACTATACTTGAGACCTTAGAAATTATATCTCAAGGTGGGTGGCGCATTTACGTTGTGGATGTCTATGGGCTCCAGTAGCCACTTAATACCATGTGGGCTGTGAGCTCGTCCACACATCTAAGCCATAAAAAAAATAAAAATCATCTCATCTTATGGTATGACACCTTTGCCTTTCCAGTTGGAAAAATAAAATAACTACTACTTAAAGTCCACCACCACCACCTAGGTGATGTATTCACAAGTATTTATGTTGTAGTCTGGTTTGAGTATGCTTTTTAACCGGCCGCCTGCCTAATATCAACCCATTTTGTGAGCGGCACGGCTGGGATTGGCAAATCAGAGTGGTCATAGTTTGAGAACGATGAAAGTAGTTGAATTTCGTCACGTCCGTGACTTACTGGGATTCAGGAACGTCACATAAAATAAATAAAATTGGTAACATTTTAAATAATTAGCGTAGTATTTGTCAATTTTTTGGAAACACCGACCTCATGTCTTAGGTGGGCGGGCGGTATCCACGTTGATTTATCCCACAGACGGTAACTTCCTAGTGTCAGATGACCTGGACTCACATCAATTCATTAATATAAATTAAAACAGCTCACTGAGATCGCACGTAATTGGATTGCACTGTCATCATTACTTGTGCTATTGCAGCATTAAATGATTTTATGCCACAAAATACGGGTGGGCTACTCGTATATGCTATAATGAATTGTTCAAAAACAATATAGATATAGTCAAAGAAAAAAACGCTACATTACCTAGCCTTTTCTCAAAGTTTAGTCAAATATTTTATTTTATTATAAAGTTAACGACAAGCTTCACGGCTTAAAAAAATGGAAACAATTTGGTTCTGATCCTTACAAAAAAAAATGTCAAAAACTAACAAGAAAATTTAATACACAAAATATTCGTTGTTTTGCGACTACTGGCTGAATAGTGTTTTAAGTATTCTTAATTGTTCTGTTCATAGCAAAATACAAAAAAATATATATTTATTTTACATGAAACTTTACGGTACGAATGAATTAGAAAGACGGTTTTATTTTATTTTTAACATTAAATTAAAATTTTGAGAATATTTAATCGCACGTCTTACATTTTTCTAAAATGCGAATTTGATATATTGTCCTTAAAAAGGCCATGTAAATGAATTAACAAGCCTATGAAGAGACAAAAGAATCTAAATCTCTCAACTCGATGGTTAGTTGACAAATTCTGTATTTTTTACGTTTCAAATAAATAATCCTATTAAATAAATGTTATTATAATTTATACTAAAAATAAAATTTTCGGTTTAGTCACGGCCCGCTAAGATTGTGACAATGTCGAGTATTGGAATTGACGTATATCCGCCAATTATAATATAATAATAATTCGAAAATAATAAGCGCGAGATAAAACCATAACAGTGTACGACTCGCAAAAGCCGAGCCAGACACTAAATTGTAGTTATTGATCAACTTAAAATGTTTATTTCAAGAGCTAATTTAGTTTCAAGTTTTGATATTCATACCCGACGATATGAGGATTCCCCCTTTGAAATTAATTAAGTTTAATAGGAACACACGTCATTTTTTTAATACTGGAGTCAAAGTAATTGAACATTAAATAAATTTAAATTTAATTTCTTTCTATTTGTGTAACAAAAATACGCAAGTTTTTAAAGCAACTTGTTAGCGAGTTAATTAATTGGGTCACTATTTATGCATGTACTAGCATATACAAAAGTGTTATGCGTATCTGTTAATGTATTATTTTATAAATAAACGATTTAGGTGTTTGTGTGGGCAGTACATCTGCATTCTGTTGAAAACATTTCAGAAACATTCGAGATAGCCTTGATAAGATAAGTTTGGATTACATTTTATCGGATGAAAATTTTAAATATGTGGACGAATTCACAGCCCGACTGGTGTTAAACCAGAGTTGATGTACAACATAATGTCTCGATTCCGCGAATCAACTACCTTTGAGCTGTTAGGTCTCTTGCGGGGAGATGCTTGTGCAACTATTAATAAGCAACCCTTCTTCTTGGATGAGCTCTTGAGCTCGCCTACCCGTCTGGTGAAGCTGAAAAGCCTCAGTCCCAAAAGGAATCCGTCTATCCGAAAAAAAAATTGATACCTTAAATCGATAGCTTAAAAAATATGTGTTACCATAGAAGCCATTGCTCGTCTATCCATTTACAGTACGCCACGCCAATCTTTTTATAATTTTTGTTATAATATTTTATCAAAAAATATTTGATCGATAATTGCCAATAAATACTCTTAAGAAATAAGAATTGTTATGTAAAACACAAAACATACCATGTTGTATTATGAATTCATTGATTATAATTATTAATGCCAAAAAATATTGTCTACAAAGAAACGTATTTGATTAAATTTTCGATTAAGTGTTTTAGTTTTAATAACACCATATCAGTTTATCACTGATTACTATAAGCCATTGTTCTAATGACGCTCGCAATGTACCCAATGGCCTTATGATTAGGCCGCTTTTTACTATTTATCAAATTAAATAAAACTCTCTTTTCTTCAGCCCGTGTCCACCCAATGCTTAGTGTAAGTATCTTCGAATGCACCCCATTCTCTTCGGTCTCTTGACTTTCTCATCCAGTCTCTACCAACCACTTTGACTAGCTCATCGGCCCACCTCGTTGGCTGTCTGCCCATGTTACGACGTCCAGTACGAGATCTCCACTCCAGTACTTTTGTGCCCCACAGATATAACATCTCCTACACGACGACCTGGGCCTCGAGTCTATCCAGAAATACATGAAGTCAGCGTCGGAACGGTACTACGATAAGGCTATGCGTCATGATAATCGTTGCCGCCGCTGACTACTCCCTGAATCCTGATCACGCAGGAGCCAGTCACCGTCGACGACCTAGACACGTCCTTACGGATCCATCAGATCCAATAACCTTTGCATTAGACTCCTTCAGCTCTAACACTAGGAGCAGGCTTAGGGACCCCGGTAACCGTACTCGTCGAACTCGACAAAGAGTTCGCCGTGCAACCTAACCCATGAATCAGCTCGCTGAGTTTCTCGCCGGATCTTCTCAGCGGGTCGCAATTCCGATCCGGTAGTAGATTCATTCATTGTTAGGTCTCCTTCGGAGGCGCTCGGGTAGCTGTTAGCAAATCCCACCCCTCCTGGCTGAGCCTTTGCTCGCCCACCTGTCCTGGTGAAACTGGAAAGGCCTCCGGGCCACCAGTAATCCTTCAATCATAAAAAATAAAAAATAAAATATAATATCTACTAATACTAGTAAATAAAACTACGGTAATAACAAATTCACCTGTTTGACTACAGAAAGTCTTATAACACACATAATTTGTCATTGGATAACACCATTGTACATGCCAAGTGTCCGAACTATCGCCACGAGGCCCGCATCAAAATCTAGTGACATATTTATAAGCCTCTTCAGGTACATGGATGTAATGTTGTGATGTTAAGGATCATTATTAACTCAGCTACATTACGAAATTGGTGTCCAAGTTAAACATTCGCCATATTTTAATTCCAACTTTTGCAATAGAAACGAAACTAGATATTTATAGTGAAGATGATAATAAAATATTCATCGCGCCGGGATATTGATCTGATATCTGTTCTGACTAGATTCTAAAGTTTTCAAATTCCAAATGTAGAAACGGAAGATTGGGGTCAAGCCTTTAATATAAAGATCAGGGTGAAACACATTAAAAGAAATTCGTAATATGAAAGTCACCATCATTATTTTGTTTAGGTGAAGTAATGGATCTGATGGCGCTTGTGGGGTCGGCAGTGAATTTCGTTTTGTACTGCAGCATGAGCCGACAATTCCGGACCACGTTCACGAGACTGGCGCGAAAGGTCCTGCCACTTCCACAAAGGCAGAGGGAGAGGGAGCCACTCACAACAGTCACTGTTTCGTAGCGAAAGGCTGTGGCCAAATCTATGGCCTCAGTGACGCAGCTCTAAATAGAACGATAATAAGCATGTCGAAATATTGAGATTTTATTTAGAGAAATTTTAAAAGAAAGTTGTACATTACTTTGGAATATTAGACCAAAACTTCGTGTAAGTTTATGTTAAGATATAAAGTCTCAGCCCTTGTGGTCATAAAATTGTTATTAAGTAACTGGGTGAGTATTCGTAACTTAATTTACTGGTGTATTGTGATAATAATTGGTATTTTGATTTATTTGTGTAATAAAAACAACCACGATATATATTTACGGATTTTTTAATAAGCAATAAATTTCAGATTTTTTTTAGAAAACAGATTCAATCCTTTTGTTACACTCCATCCATTCGATTGTCACAGCTTATCATTTATACAACGTAACGCCCGTTATCTGTTTGTATTATATTTTGGAGAGAGTAAAAGTTTCTATGGTGATTTATGATATCGTAAATTAAATATATTTTTGCATTCGAAAATTTTTAGAATGTTTAGCTGTTTGTCAATGTTAGCTACGGACATAGGCTATTAATTTGGATCTCAGATCTCTTCGAACGCTTTGAGTACTGTATTTCCTTGCCATTGAAGCTTTTTTATGTGTTTTCTTTTGAAATAATATGTTACTGGATGAAATCATGTTTTTAAAAATACTAAATCAAGAAAAACGAAATTTATTGAACTAGAATTTACATTTTGAATGTAAAAAACGAAGCCAATTCGTTGGTGCTATAAACTCGTAGGTACGTGCATGCTATTGTACATAATATTGTGTTTAAACTAATAATGGCTGAGTGTATCTCAAGTAAAAAGATATCACTATGTTATAAAATCACTCAACTTGAACAAGAAGCATTGTCATTCTAGTCACGTTCTTGGGTTTTTAAGTATATTCTAAAACCGTACGAAAATAATATAATTAATATTGCACTAACCAAACGAAAGCCTTCGTTAAATATTAATATTCCATTACTAATTTTATAATCATAAAATGGATTTGCTATAAATTTTATTTCGTCGAAAATATATATTTAATATATAAAAATCTTATTGTTCCAGCCAGCGTTAAGTATCTATTTTAAATAATATATTTTTAGCGTTAAGGAAACATACGGATATATTATTAGTAATATGATATATATATAAGTACAGTAATCTTTGTTGGTAGATTATGTGTATAGGCGAATGATTTAGTTGTAAAATTATTTTATTATTGTATATATGCGGGTACATATCTATGAGAGACGATTAGTGAAATTTGATAGTAGTAGTATCTAGCACGAAATTTATTGTAACTATGATATGTCCGCTACTATGATTTGCCCAAGAAAGTAATTAAATAGCTTTTGCTTCTAAGTTTTTCATTTGCAGCAGGAGAACGATAAAATCCGCAACGGTAGTATCGTCATTCTGCGTATTTCTGACGCAAAGCAGCTATGCGTTCAAGAATCAAAAGTGTACAAGCCATTTCAAAATACAACTGAGTCTTGGACTTCAAAGTGGATGGTATTCAGGTTGTGATATCTCTGGGTTTCGATGGCCGCATATCCATTCTAACACAAGTAGCAAGTGAGCTAATGACCTTTGTGGTGTTAAGTGTTTACCGGTGCCCATTGGCACCTTGAAACAAGAGGCCTAAGTCTCAATTATATTGTGTGATAGCTATCCCATCCAATTTTGGAGTAAATGTTTATGGTTTAGTAAGAATAAAATCATAATACCCTGTGTAGTTTATAAGCTATCTATCGGTCGTCAGGTAATTTAATCACATTTTTAATAAAAAACACATTTTCTTTATCCTAAAGCTCCATCTCTCATAATGCTTCATCGTTTACGGGACGAAGTAGCGTAATGGAGTGCTTATGACATTATTTTTAGAAAAATTGGATGTCAGTATTCTTTTGATAAAGTCATCGAGCCAGTCAACGTTCGCGCTGTCGTATGCCTTTTGTACAGTTTCTATTTAAGTGAGAAGGATTTTATAAAATAAGATTGTCCATAACAGGCTCTCACAGTCTGCCAAGAATTGTTTATCTAATATATTTCACACACTCTGCTCTTAGCTAAATAATATGGCAAATATGGCGGATTATTAATTAATATTATGTATTTTAAAGGTTTAAAATTTTGTAGACAGTATGTACCATAAATAATTAACTTGTTACAGGTGCACCAATTAATTAATCAGAGCCGTTAGTTTTCATTGTTCTCGAGTTAACGTGCAGATCTAGTTTCTGTTGAGTTAATTGGTTTTACTGCAGCAATATAATTGAACCGAATACAACTAGATATACTGAGTGGTACGTGTTTTATACAGAAATAGTTAAGTACAGTCACACTTCGCCAACGCTAAATTCCGAAACTTATTTGATGGAACGATATATGTTCCAAAATCTCGATCGCCCATCATTGGTATAGTATTGAAAACCTGCAATACCAAAAGAACTGAACAAAGTATCAATCTAATCTAATAAATGACGCACGATCTATAGAATACGAACAAACGAGAAAAACTTCAAAATGTTTATTGTAAAGAGAACACGATTTCTCAATATTGAGCGATGATATCGCTTGATAGTTTTGATAGTATTTATTTATTTAATTTTCTACTGTGTTCTGCGTGATAGCATAATAATATATTATTTGTGGATGTTCTGCAATGCTTATCACAGTGTTTAAGCTGACTTAACGTTAAATGTAGTAAAATACACTTAATAGCTATTTCTCATTTATATTGTTAAATATGATACTATCTTAATTAAATAGTCCAGATGGTGTACTTTACATTTTGTTATATTTAGTGTAAGTGCACAAATGTTAACTGTTAGTGTTGGTAATTTAATATGATCGACGACAGACAGATCTCTTGTTTTTTTGAATTATGTAAGTGAATGTCATGTTAATGTTATTCAATGGTAGATATGTAGAAAATTTGGAAAATAATGTATACTGTGTACGTTATTAAATGTGTTTTTATAAGTAATAAATAAATGATAAAAAATAAAAACGTTTTAATTCAAAATTCCCCTGTTTAAACTTAATTAATGAAAATTTTGACTCCGCAATTTGTTAAAAAAGTCGCATGTAAATCAACGTGTACTCATGATTGCCATGCCCAACTGCGCGTCCTGCATTACTAAACTTTAGGAAAAACATGATACTAAAGAAAAGGATATGGAGTTAAGAATTCAAGTTCAACATAAATTATGTGTTTGACCTTGTTTTTGCTACGGGCGGGTTTGCCCGCGTGTGTTGTATTTCAGCAGCAAGATATATCATAATCATCTTTACATTATATACTTCTATGTTATGTGTTCACAGTAATAGTGTTTATGAGAATATTGTGTGATTTCAAGGACTCACATTTTGTATTCGATGTGTTTGTATTGGTTTTTGGAGCATCTCAGCGGCCAACAATAGGTGTTGAAGTGCAAAAACACTTTAGACTGTTATTCTTGCTTTAGATTTCGGTTTATTGAATGTACCACAGAAATCACGTACAGACCAGGGCTTTGTTTATTTTTGTAGCTGTGATATTTTCTGAATGAGAAAAATATAATACTATATATGGTCGATAGTGTACGATAAAGCTTGTACACGAATGAACGGTCTAAACCAAGAATGTCGACGTACAGTGATATAAATTATGAGCCGTTGTTCATGTCGAGGGGACTTCGATCCCTTGTAATTTATTCAGCCATTATATTCGATTTACCAGCGGATTTACTGGGTTCTTCAAGTTCTATTCGATATGTCCAAAACACTTGCACATTGATTTACAGCAAAAAGGGCTTACAACATACATACCATTATCTTTGAAACTAAAATATCTTAATAATGTTGACATCGAAGTGCTTAAGCATTATTGTAAAAAAAAAAAAAATTCAGTACTGCATAATCCACTCTTAATAACTCTAGGCTCCGTTTAGTATTAGATGGCAAAAACTATTAAGCCCAGATCCTAAATGTCATAATAATATGTTTTTGGTAATGAAATTCTAGATCAACGAAGTGATCAAAATTGAATGTTATGAAAGAGTGAATTCCTTAATAATATTGTTCAATAATATTTGTATTCCTTAATATAAATGAGAGTTGATTAACTGAAGTTAGTTCTCGTAGCATGAAATTAATAAGGGAATCTTTTATATCGTCTTATATCAGAGTGTTCCGACGAATTCGGGCGATGAATTCCAGTAATTTTGTTTATTTTCATACCAACAAGTGTTCTGGTAAAGTACATAACAATTTTGTGTGTATGTTGTACATTCTGATGCCAAAGTAGACTATGAAATATAGACCGAGAATTATTTAAGTTAGATCGGATTACGTGAACGCAAGTAGCAAGCTCATGTCTGTAGAGTCACATAAATTGACTTTTTTCTATTTCAGTGAGCATAGAAAAAAAATCGATTCGACGTCTTCGGTATAAATAAAAGCGATGAGTTCACCACTTATTCGACGTGTTTACGTCGGTACCGCGAATAAATTTAAATAACAAATAGTACCAATTTGTAAATGTAAATATAAAGAAAAATCGTTCGCTTTCAGCTTTGATTGTATTAGATGGCACTTCAAAAGAAATATTAAAGTACGTTAATATTAATAATAATAAAAATACTAATTTCATTTATTTCACTAACATACAGGGTTGCAACTTGTACATACTTTACATACTTTTTCTACAAATATACTCTACCTCATACTAGAAACTCTCTAAAGAGATGAGACTTTTACTTTTACGTCCAGTTAATTTTTTCAGGTCATATACATCAGAAACAGCATGAGTGTGTAGGTACATCACCTACCATGTATTGCGAACTACCGCAAAACACCAAGTTGTAGCCTCATGTTAAGTCAGGCAAAGGTATAATAATAATTCAATGCAATAAGGAAACCATCCATATCATTTAATTAAAATAAATTTTGTTTATATGCAAAAAACTTACTATGTTTCCTATGGGTTCATGAAGAAAAAGAAAAGGGTATTGATAATTTAAATACGAGATCTTTGAGTAAAACGCCTCTTATTCGTAACTAGTAGCAAAAACGATTCTAAATCTTTACATTCTCACATTACGTACGTTAGCTATATAAAGCTCTCGTAATCGAAATATACTTGGTTCCCCAGCAGAACTCATTTGCCTATAAAAACTTCACAGCACTAGTGGAATAATTGTAGCCAGTTTTATCGCAGACAATTGAATGAGGTAACCTTGTTATTTTATTTTAATTGATTGTTTTAAATGCATAGAAAGGCTTTAATCCTATTGCTATCTTTACATGAACCTTTCATATAGTGATGTTGACACACAGAAGATCGATTACACAGTGACAGACCAACTTTTATATTATTTTGACTCCGTCATGCATAATATCCATTATAAACTAATCCTAAAAACACGAATACCACCATATTGACATATGAAGTTGAAGTTTCTATGGTAATGTAATACGCTCGGTCTATCAAATTTAATATACCAACAATAATAACCAATAAACCAAAGGCATGGTTGCTTTTTACGTCATTACGGATCCTCGTGATTCATTAACTGTGATTTTAGGTACCACAAGCACCGCTCACCGTCCTCGTCGAATCCGTCGTTGCGACGAAGGGCTCGAAATTAGCCCACGAGCGAATTAACCCACAGACACAGCCCACTGAGTTTCGCGCTGGATTTTCTCAGTGGGTCGCGTTTCTGATCCCGTGGTAGATTCTGCGAAGCACTGCTCTTGCTAGGGCCGGTGTTAGCAACACTCCGGTTTGAGCCCCGTGAGCTCACCTACACGTTAGGGCGAAGCTGATATAGCCTCTCAAGGCTATCAGCATAGGTAGGGGAAAAAAAGGTAGAAAACGGTAACATGATCCAACCTTGTAGGTTCGTAATGCAGAGAATTTGGAAAAGAGAAGATAATTGAGGGGAGGGTACTGCTAATGCGGACGAGTTAAAGGAATGTAGTAACAATAGGTAGAGGATTACGCCCGTAGACGCAACGGACCACTCGGGTGTACATACGGGATACCTCGGATCCGAACAGA